AAAATGTTATTAATGTAATAATATGAAAAATATATTAAAAGTGTTTTTAAATAATTAATTATAATGTTTAAAAATATTAATATACAATTTAATTTAAATGTATTAAATAATAAATATAATTATTTCATTAATTATACAAATATTTTATGTCCGCAGGACACAGCCAACAGAATTTGTTCCCTCCTCTTCTTCCCACCCAAAAAAGAGGCACTTTGTATAACCATCACATGGAAGCTCATGAATTTTTTAGTCTTTGATTCCTGCTTTGACCATTTAGCTGAGGTTTGTTGGGAAGTTGAATACCTGAACTTCAATCCCTTTTTCTGTTAGCATTTAATTATGATATCTTTTTCAGTCTTAATCAAATAAAATTTCTTATGGTTTTATAAATTAATAGGAATATTGTACTTTTTAACAAAATAATAATATCTATCATAATAAGACTTCCATATGTCCTTAAAAACATTTATTTAAACCATAACATCAAATAAATAGTTGTATAAGTTATTTTTTAAATTGAAAGAGTATAATAAAAAATTGTCATCACTTTTCTACCGGCGGTCTTCTGTCTCCATAAAGTCTTCCATCAAAATATTCTGTCACTTTTCTTTTAATACTATAACATAAAATTCAAATTGTTCAACCAAAAAAAAAAAAAAAAAAAAAAAAACATTTTGCTTTGGGATTTTTTTAAGGATTTTTCCTTTGGATTCATGTAATTAATTTTATATTAAAAATGTAAATATTAATTTTGATATAATTAATTAATTAAAATTATTTACATGTTAATAGTATTAAAATAAATATTAATTTTTGAAATTTTTAAATAAATTAATTAAAAAATATGTTTATTATATTTTTAATTTATATTTTTAAAATATAAATTAGATAAATTTTAATTTTCAACGATCTAGACGAGATGAATTGGGGAGCAAAACACATCCCTCCTTTTGACCTTTATCCACTACGCATGGAATTGATGACGTGTGTATTGATGACATAAGCAAACTACGTGAGCAATAAGTCCAAGATCATCACTGGCTGCTTCTTGCTTTTACGGTCCATTACCGTAATGGAGTTCCGAATATTTATGGGCGTTTCTATCATGTGTTTTAAACTGAAAATATTACTAAAGTTTGAATAAATGTATCTTTTATCATAAAATTATTTTTAAAAAATAAAAATTAATTTTTAATTTATTAATAGTTGAATTAAATTTATTTATAAAACATCATTATTAACACTAATGTTAGTTTTTATACTTTTTATGCATAAATTTAAATTTATAATAAAAAAAATGTTTATTCAATCCCTAATTTATCTTCTAAACACATAAATTAAAAAATTTTATATTTTATTATTTGAAAATGTCCTTATTTTCAAGAAATAAAAAAAAAATGAGAGTTCCACTCATCAAAGCATTTGAAAGGAACGGACACTATCATTTGAATATATTTTTTTTCTTATTTTATTTAATTAACTATTTGTTTTATCCCATAAATCATAGCAGGAATTAGCTCAAGCATTTTTTATTTTTTATTTTACAGTACCAGGGATTTTTTTTTAAGAACTAATTTTACACACAAAAGACAAAACTTCGTCAAGGGGGTAAAAAAAAAATTCCAAGTTCTACACACATGACCCGGCTCCATTCGTTGTTTTCTAGAAAGCTTTTTTTAAAAATTTTTTTACTGCACGTGATTTTTTGAGATCAACACTAGCTAGCAGCAGCATGGACGATGGACCCCTCAGATTAAAAAAAAAAAAAAAAAGCAAAATTAAAAGTTTGGAATACGTCTTGTGCGAGATCACATCACGGCATAATCGGAAGATCTTCTATAACCCAAGTGATTTGTGGAATCAGACATTGAAATAGTGTTATATAATAATAATAAT